GGTTCCACCGTCTTCAAGGTTTTAACTTCCAATTCATCGGGTTTGCGATACTTTCTTGCTCTAACAGAAGAAGGTGATACGTCAACAAATCGGATTGTCAATGAAAGTTGTTCTACATGACTAATATCTGGTGTACAGTCAGCTAGAATAGCATAATATTTGGATTTTTTGGCTGGTGATATGATATCGGACTTTACTTTTTCACCCATTAGCTGTATTAATGCGGTTTGAATATTTTTTCGGCAATAGTGATTTGAAATATCACCTTTCACAACTCGCAAGTGCTCCTGCATAACTGGATCAAATTTGCCTAATAGTTGTACTAAACCCAAGAATTTTCCGTTGTGCGGAGTGTATAATTTATCAGAAGTACCTCTGAAGGCCATATTATTTTCAGCTAAGTAAAGTGCAATATGCATCAATCTAGTCAAAACCATCCATGTTGTAGTTTCGTTTCTAATTAAACGTTGTCCTTGGCAATCTACTGTTTTTCCTGTTTTTAATCGTATTTCAGCATCACTCCATATAAGGTAACATTTTTTATGAGCGGTACTGCTTTCATGAATTTTTAACATTTAAGATAAGTGTTTCCAGTTGTTATATCCTGTAGATACTAAATTGGATACCGAGCTACTGTCAAAATGTCGGCAACAAAAACAATAAACATGATCTGCAGAAACAGAGTAAATTAACCATCGACGCTGAATTATTTTGTGTTTCGACTGGTTTCATTGTTTGCAAGATTTTTCGAGCAATGAGAATTAGAGAAATGCCGCCCGTTATTATCTTTCGGATAATTATCATAGTATGTTTGCGATGGACCAGTAGTTATTATATGATCAACTGTTTTGCTATTTCGAATTGGTGGCCAAGTGGCCGGATTCGATATATTCATGACAACAACGTTAACGTCAAAACTAAAGCTACCTAAAGCTTGAAATTGTGCATTGGCAGTGGTGTTATCTTGAGAAAGGTCTGATATTATAGCGCAGCCTATCTCCTCACATTTTTTCTGTGGTCTTACTTTTTGATCTTAAGGGCGGCCGCACAAATACGGTTTCAGTATTCGATTTCCGTGTACGGAATTCCGACTCGGAATTCCTAACAGCCAACGCTGACGTTCGATTTTTTGTATTAGGAATTTATACTAGTACAAATGCCAGTACATACAGTGACGCTTTCGTGAAATCACGTATACAACATGAACGACGACGACTTGATTGCTATTGCACTTGTACTGGCGCTAAGTAAGAAGAAGAAGTGTAAACGTCGTTATTGGGTACACCCATTAAATACTCGGAGAATAAAAGAGAGCCAATTCTACCTAAAACAAGCAAAATTACGATCACACCCCGAAGAATTCTTCAAGTTTTACAGGATGTCAATACAGGTGCTACATTAGTCATTGAGTGTATAACAGCCCTAGACTTATTAGATTTACTTGTACAAGGAATATTTTGCTGCTGATAGGTGGAACGTAAGTTGGTGATGGAGATGAAAGATTGTAATATACAGGCGAGCTTTCCGGTACGGGAGTGTATGAGCTGCGGATAGAATGAGAGCTTGGAAATGATATTAATGAATTATCATCATTGTAAAATTGTGGAGAAGACCGTGAAGACGATGAATAGTTTCCTATATTAATTTTTTTGACCAATTGAAGCATACCCAATTGAAAATCAATTTTTTGTTCAGTGTTCATTTTTTTTCATATAACTTCTGAACCTAAGTAAAAATTTGGTGTCATCATCTTCGTCAGTATTAGATGACATAGCAGTTTTCTGTTTTTGTTACAACATATTTAATATCTGAGTGGAGACATCTTTCTTCTTTTTCTGAATATTAACCACAGGTGGAGTTGGTACTGGTGGCTCTTCGTTGATATTTTCTGGTTCAATAACTTTGTTCTTCATTTTGTGATTGTAGTGTGGTTCACTACAGTCTGAATCTTCATTTTGGTAATTTCCTCCAGAATATCTTTAAGCAAACATGGGTGTAAGAAAGTTAACGATCGACAAACCGAGGCAGAACTATAAGAGATAATTTCGCTGAGTACTTCATGACGACGGCTGGGGAACTGTCATATCAATACAGCGAAAGAATTATTAACTCACATTAGTTAAAAATTAAATAAAAGGAATATTAAAATACTTATATTTGTTTCCTTTGTCTGTGCTTGTTTCCCAATTATTGTAAAGGTGTGTCCAGACATTGCGCGGCAGGTGCGCGGCAGCAACGCGCGGCGTTCGTCGGACACAATTTGCGCCAGTTTGGACGTATTCAAATAACGTGTGCGCGGCAGTGCTACGCGGCATATGCGAGACACGCCGAGCACTTTAGTTTATGTCAAAACAAAATGAATTCAGTTGCGTGTGCCGTAGCTCTGCTTATTATCATTCGAAAATTGAAAAGAAGGAATAAAAAGAAATGTGTTAAAAGGAAATTGTGGATGAAACCCCTTTATCGGCGGAGGTTACATAATTTTGAAGGCATAAATTATGAAATTCATTACCGAACACCGCAAGTTTTAAGAATGTCCGTAGAGAAGTTTGACTCTTTACATACCTTGGTTGAACCATTTATTACAAAACAGGATACATATTGGCGTAAAGCAATAACAGCAAAAGAGAGGTTGGCGATTACTTTGCGGTATTTGGCAACGGGAGACTCATATTCTAGTTTGCAATATGTATTCTGTGTATCCAAGCAAACCATATCAATAATAATACCGGAAGTGTGCAGCGCTATAACGGGAGCTCTTCAGGATATGGTAAAGGTAAGAAAAAAAGTTTTTATTACATTATTTTTATTGTCATTTTATAAACTTCATAAACATAAACAAATACAATAAGAAAATACTAACTTATAAGTTCGAAACATCCGTCATATAAAGGGTACGGGAAGGGAATCGGGAGTTTGTTCATTTATACATTCCATATCAGCCTCAAATATAATAGTATTTATAGAATGTTTAACTTTCGTCACTGTTCTGGTATTGTATTTTCTGAGCTCAGCAGCGACATGCATTCCAAATGCAATATATGGATCGTTACTGCTGTCGCTCTGTTTGCGAATTAATTTAAGTGCATCTTGAAGCATTTGGTCTTCAGCATCAGTAACAGAATTGTCATAAGAACGTTTTGCTGCTTTATTTTTTAAATTTTTTGTTAAGTACTCTTGAAGATATATCAGTTTCTTAGTCGTTATCGGTATTTGAGTTAGTATTTACCATTTCAATTGTAATTGCATCATTGTTTGTGTCAAAGGAAGAAAAAGATTCCTATAACAAATAGTAAATAAAAAACCATAATAAATATTGCATTTTCCAGATTCCACAATCAGAAAATGAGTGGATGGAAGTGGCCAACCAATTTGAGACAAAATGGAATTTTCCTCATGCCATTGGTGCTTTGGATGGAAAACATATATCCATTCAAGCACCTTTTGGAAGTGGCGCAGAATACTATAATTACAAGAAGTTTTTCAGTGTTGTTCTTCTGGCATTAGTAGATTCGAATTACAACTTTTTATACGTCAACGTAGGATGCCAAGGCCGGATCTCAGATGGCGGGGTTTTCAAGAATACAACATTGTACCGAAAACTTGAAAATCAGCAACTAAACATACCACCATCCGAAATTATAGATGAAGAGAACGTCACAAAAATTCCATATGTAATATTAGGAGATCAGGCTTTTGCGTTGGATAGATACATGATGACACCTTACTCAGGAAGCCATAGAAAAGGTTCCAAAGAAAGAATTTTTAACTATCGGCTATCTAGAGCACGCCGAGTAGTTGAAAATGCTTTTGGGATTATGTCGTCCAAATTTAGAGTACTAAGAAAACCTATGATTTTAAATCCGACATCGGCCAACAAAGTTGTCTTGGCTACAGTTTACTTACATAATTTTCTACGTAGAGATTTGTTACCAAGAAATAAAGTAACCAATACATCAGTTAATGAAGAAGTCACAGCAACGCAAAATCAAGTTGTAGATATCTCCCCCACTGATATTCGCAATTTTTTAGCAAATCATTTTGTACATAATGCGCCGGTTCCATGGCAATACAATNAGAGATTTGTTACCAAGAAATAAAGTAACCAATACATCAGTTAATGAAGAAGTCACAGCAACGCAAAATCAAGTTGTAGATATCTCCCCCACTGATATTCGCAATTTTTTAGCAAATCATTTTGTACATAATGCGCCGGTTCCATGGCAATACAATTATTAAATACTTATTTTTGTTTAAAAAAGCAATGAAACTACGTACCATTGTATCAAATGTTTCAACAGGATTGTTTTTGTCATGTAAAAAGTGAAATGATTCATAAGCATACCATTTAGATTTATATGACTGGTTTCTACCTGCAACAATGAATTTTTTGTTTAGATTTTTATATATTTAATATCTAATAATTGTTAAAAAAAGAATGAAAGAATAGTGTCATTAATGCTCCAAAACGGAGTTGACAAGTAAAAAAAGAAGTTGAAATACAAAAATGACGAAAGGAACAAGAAAGTTTATGTTTTTATAAATAGTTGTTTTTAATACTTTAACATTTTCATTATTGATTATAATAAACTTTATTAAATTAAAACTAGAACTAACATTACCACTATTACTAGAACTAGAAACTTTCGGGTTAAGCGATGCATTTGTTGAAAAAATGTTTAACGTTTCGGATGCCATGTTGATACGTTCTTCAGAAACGCCGCGCGCTATTACCGCGCGCAAATGCCGCGCAATGTCTGTACGACGACGCGCGCGGCGTATCGTGTTTCAGCTGTTGCTAACGAACATTTGCAGTGATTCGCAGTATACGTTCGCAGGGGAGTGTGACGTGTGTGGACACAAACATCAATTCGATTAATTGAAGAATACGGATCGTTGAACATGTTGTGGGATCCACAACACAAGGATTATTATAACAAAATTAAACGTGAAGACCTATGGGAGGAAATAGCCGCAAAATTTAATTTTCCTAAGAAGGAATTAAAGGCGAAAATGAAAAGCCTTTTAAGTTCATATAGGCGCGAAAGAAATAGGGAAAGGAATAGTAATGTAACTGGATCAGGTTAGTTTAGACTAGAGATGAGCAATAAATAGCAACCTGTGATTTGATCACTGTGAACGAAAAATCGCAGATCATCATATGATCTAGTGCGTGCCAGCATTGCTATTGCTATTTCAACCGAGCTCTTATCGTAAGAGCTCGGATTTTTTCGGTAAATGTATTCACTTCGTGCTACCATGTGCTCACAAACTCGTAAACAAACTTGAACAAGCGTGTTGTTGTAAAATATTCACGAATTTGTGCAATAAAAAAGAATGTCGTCAACACAAAGAAGAAAAATTAGTGAAATATGGTTGTTTTACGACCAGGTAGATGAATTTTTTGCCAAATGCAACTTATGCAAAAGGGTGTTTTCGTACAAAACAAGCATAACCAATTTAAAAAAACATTTAGAATGTAAACATCCGACTGTATCCATACCAAGTTCCAGTACTTCGACAGCTAGAAGAGATAGTACATCTTCTAACTCACAACAGGTAATAATTAATATTAAAATAAAAATATTAATATTAAAATAATAATATTAATATTAAATATTAATTAGTAAAGTATGTTTTGCCGATTTTTTTATTGCAATCTTTTTCTTTCAACTTTTATTAGAGTGAATCTCAACCAGCAACACAAAATCAAAGAGTAGTTCCGATAACAACGTATATGAATAGGCCATTAAATGAAAGCAAGAAAACCACTCTTGATAGTAAGCTCATGTTGTTATTTACAAAATCTCTCCAACCCTTCAAATTGGTCGAAGAACAAGCGTTTTGTGATTTTATACACGAACTTAATCCGAGTTATCAGTTACCAAGCAGACATTTTATATCACGTACTATGCTTCCGGCATTATTTGAAAAATGTAGGTTACGAGTAAAAGAATTACTTACAGAAGCAAAGCGGATCTGCATAACCACAGATTGCTGGACTTCAATTAATAATGAGGCTTACATTGCAGTGACTGCACACTATGTTGACGACAAATTTAACTTAAAATCGCTTCTCTTAGAATGCAAGAATTTGCCAGGAAACCACACCTCTGCAAATCTTGCCGAATGTCTTGATACGGTAGTGACAGATTGGAACATCAAAGAGAAGGTATTATTAGGAATTTCCGACAATGCGTATAATATTGTTAATGCAATGGAAACCCGATTAAAGTGGAATCACTTTGGTTGTTTGGCGCATACCCTAAACTTAATAGTCAATGCTGGACTAAAATGTGACGATAATATTGTATCCATAATAGAAAAAGTTAAGAAAATTGTGGCGTTTTTTAAACGAAGTACTACAAGTAGTGCAAAATTCTTAACGTATCAGCGGAACAATGGCAATAATAATCCACTTAAGTTGTTGCAAGACATCCCTACGAGATGGAATAGCACATTCTATATGCTCGAAAGATTTATACAACTTGAAGAAGCTGTAAAGGCAACAACAGCGCTACTAAGTACCAATCTGCCGATTTTAGAGCAAAAAGAATGGCAAATTCTGAAAGAATTGGTACAAATTCTAAAACCGTTTGAGTCGGCCACAAAAATATTTAGTGGTGACACTTACGGAACTGCAGCAATTGTTATACCTGTCGTCAATGGTTTAACTGATATCTGTGCAAAACTGCTACAAAAAGATTTATCTGATTGTATAAAAAAAGTATTACAAATATTTCAAAGTGGTATTAAGAATCGTTTAGAAAAAGTCCATGAAAACAGAATTCTTTGTGGGGCCAGTTTCTGCGACCCTAGATTTAAGTTACATGCTTTTACAAATCAAACAGCACAAGGGCTGGTTAAGGAACAAATGATATCTGCTGTGACTGACATGATTGTTAAGGTATCGAATTCGAATGAAGGTACACAAGATCAAAATATTCGCATAAATTCCTCAGAAGAGGTGAATGATGATGAACTTTCGGTGTGGTCCGCATTTGACAAAAATACATCCGATAAAGCTGTTCCTCAAGAAACTTCCTCAACATCAACACGCGCTATTATTGAAATCGAGAGATTTCTCGAATGCGGATTAATTCCTAGAAACGAGGATCCGTTAAAATGGTGGAGGATCAATGGATATCAATATCCTTACCTAAAACGTGTTGCCCAAGAAAAGCTCAGTGCTTTATGCACTTCAGTACCATGTGAACGGGTATTTTCAAAAGCAGGCTTGGTTATTACAGACAAAAGAAGTCGTTTAAGTACAACAAAAGCCAACATGATTTTATTTTTGAATGTTAATGGAATTCACTTGTAAGCCAATAGTTGTTTCGTTGTCGTCCAAGACTCCCAAGAGTTTTATTTTTAAGTTGCCAAAGAGTTTACTTTTGTTTTTTAACTTATTATATTTTACATAGTTTGTTCAATACATGTTTATGTTTTTTTAATGTTTTATTTGTGTTCACTACCAATATACAATATATATTGTTTAAAATTTATAATAATAAATATATACGCTCTTTATACAACGTTTGTATTAATAAAAATCTAAAAGTCCTTATTAGCAGTTTAGCAGTTTACAATCACTGCTATTTGGTAGTAGCATTAGCAATGTGTCATATGATTAACCAATCGCAGTTTAGCTCATCTCTAGTTTAGACCCACTTTTACCATCTCTAATTAAAGTGGTTGATATCTTCAGCTAACGAATAGCGCAAAAATCATGTTTTACTATCATATTTATCTTGTTGGTTTACAGGTTTGAGGTTCGGTAGTTCGGTATAAAAATTTATTTGTCAAATAGGTTCGACTCGTTTTTTACTAGATGGCGCATCATTTATATCTAACCTCAAATCATAATTGATCTTGGAAGAAATTAATAATTAATTTTCCATATTTGGTGGACGTATAATAAAAGAAATGATAAATCGTGTCCACCATCGTGTCCAGTCAGATGATGAATTCATTAAAAAATTCGATTGTCAGAGGAATATTTTCATCATTTGTTAACACAAGTTCATACATCAAACGTAAGTTACATAAGTTTACATAAGCTTGACGTCATTAATAGTAAAAGACTTGAAATGGTGTTAATTAAACTAAAACTAGAACTGACACTATCACTATTACTAGAACTAGAAACTTTCGGGTTAAGCCACGCGTTTTTTGAAAAAATGTTTAACGTTCTGGATACCATGTTGCAACCTTCTTCAGAAACTCACTTCGAACTTGTTTAACCTTCTTCAGAAACAAGTTCGAAGTGCGTTTCTGAAGAACGTATCAACATGGCATCCGAAACGTTAAACATTTTTTCAACAAATGCATCGCTTAACCCGAAAGTTTCTAGTTCTAGTAAT